TCACTGGGCTGGGGCAGGGGTTGGGGTTCGGGCGTGGGGTGCTGGCTCTGGGAAGGGGCTCAGGGCTGGGGTGTGGCCTCCCCCTGGGTAGCACGTAGCCTCCCACCGATCGAAGTAAGGCAGGCTCCCTGCCTGCCACTCCTGGAAGGGGCCAACATGCCCCTGCAGCCGCTGGGTGGGGGGGCACATGGCTCCACACGCTGCCCCTCTCTGCAGGCACCACCCCCAAAGCTCCCATTGGCCACAGTTTCCTGTTCCCGGCCAATGGGAGCTGCGGGGGTGGTGCTTGCAGGCCGGAGCAGCATGCAAAGACCCCTGGCCCCCCCCCCACCTCCCGAGAGTGGCATGGGACTGCGGCAGGCAGCCCCACTGCACCATTGTGGTCGGAGCTCATGATCGACTGGGAGAGTGCCCAGGAGTGCCCAGTAGATCGCGATCGACGGGTTGGTGACCACTGCTCTAGATACAGTGTTGCTTAGGTCCCCTGTTGCTGCTTTTCAGAAGCCGTCCGGCAGTGCCCCACCCTGACAGTCTCCGTGTGGGGATGCGCACCACTGACACAAGGAGCATAGAGTGGACATGCAAAAGCAATTTCATGACTGCAGGTGGCCGTACAGCAACACAGCTTAGGTCAACTTCACTTTGTAGTGTAGACTTGGCCTCAGATTCCTCGGGAGTCTCTCAGCGTAGCTCACTGCCACTCAATCCACGTGACCTCAGGGCTCGAAGAGCTAATAGCCATGCGTGGCTCAGGCCTTTGTTTTATGGCTCAGCAGGCAGGGGTCTCTAGCTGCCTGGTGCCCCCAGCACTGTGCTGAAGCACTAGATCATGACTGACCCAAAGAGCGGTGTCACCAGCACCTCCCCTCCAGCTCTCCCAGGGCTGGGGGCAAGCTGGGCTCTCTAGTTCATTCTGTAGCTTCCCCAAGAATGTGGGGACTCCAGATCCTTGGTCCATTCCATAGTGAGGTGCTCGGGAGAGGGAAAGGCGGACAGAACAGGTTGGTGCTGCTGGCTTTGTGGGTGCTTCTCTCCCATAACGAAGGCAGCCCAGTCCTGGCCGCAGCACCCTCGCTAGTGCAGTCCTGGGATCCTGCTGAGCAGAGACGCCGGGAGCACTGTCGAGTCACCCACAGTTGGAGGGAGGTGACCTCAGATTCATTGGCTCATCCCTCAAACCTCCTCATTTAGAAGGTGCACAGGCCCCTCACCCCCAAACGATGCAGTTGTGGGCGGGATTGGAAGGGAGAAATGAAGGAGGGAGGGGACAGGGGGAAGAGAGTGGGGCAAAATGGGAAAGGAGGGAGAAAAGGCAGCAACACTGAAAGCAAAACCAGGTAGGAGCTGCAGTGACCCTTGTGGGGGAAGGCTCCTTCCTTCTGACTCAGCTGTTTGCCTGTCAAAAACCGATGGACAAAGGCAGACCCAGCAGCAGGGACTACAGCTGCAGAAACCTCTGAATCCGTGTATTCATTATTAGGAGTGTTCCCGTAGCCTCTAGTCATGGACCAGGAGCCCGTTGTGCTAGGGGCTGTACAAACACAGACCAGCCCTCAGTGTGACGCTGGGAAGAACCAGCAGGGAATTGCACACATAGAAGTAGGGTCATTAGTCTTTTATTTATAATTTTTCATATAGACAAAAATCAGTAACTCCAGGTTGAGAGAGACCGGAAAGCTGCACACCCCTTTGCCTTGTTACGTGAGCCAAGCATGTGAAACAGGCCCAGCGCAATCAGTCCCCTGCTCAATACCCTTCTTGAGGCCCTGGTCCGATAGCGACTGAGGAGCAGTGAGTGGGGTGTTCATGCTGAGATTCCTCTCGGACTGTCCTCGGCTCTGAGGTGGTGCTAGTGGAGTTTCACGGGAGGATCTCCCCTACTTTACACCTGTTAATGAAGCATCACACCACTCCAACGAGGGAAGTCTGATCCCCGCTTTAATGAGAGGGAGGTAGAGGAGTGGCTTGTACCCGGTCCCAGGGTGACCGTTTATTTCAGGGGAGCGGGATAAGGCCCTGGAAGATTTCACATGTGCGTATCATTAGAAATAAGGCTCTTGTATAATTCCGCTCTGCACTTTGCTGCAAGACCAACGTGAGGAAGAGTTCTCACCTGCGCAGTGGTAGACCGGAACTTCAGTTTAGTTTAGCTAGGCTAGATGTTTAGAATGCAGAGGGCTTTCCCCCTCCGGGAAGGAGGTAGGTGCCATATGTCCCTTGTAACCCTTTCCGGGTGGGAGAAGACCTCTCAGGAACATGTCGCTTGTGAAGGGTTAATATGTCTGGGTGAAGAGATGACTTTCCGGCCCACAGACTCTCTCAACATCGTGGAGCCCGGATGTCACAGCCACTTGCTGACCATCTGCGCCAACCACGGCAGCTCAGCGGAACTCCTGCAGCAGGTGGTGGCCGGAGCAGAGGCCATGTACAAGACCAACGCCTACCTCCACTGGTACTGGCAATACGGCTGCGAGGAGGCGGATTTCCAGCAAGCCTTCGAGACGCTCTGCTCAGTGGCAGATGATTACAGCCGGCTGGGAGAATAACACTGTCTGCTTTGGCACTTCCAGGCTGCTGGCTGTCAGCCTTCCTCCTGAGAGCCCGGAGAACCTCCAGGAAAGATCGTGCCAAGGTCTCTGGGAAAGGGGTGGTTCTCGTTGAGGGGGGATGCTGCTTTAAATCAATACTGTGACACATAACACCTGGCAAATAGAATCACTTCTCAGCTGGTGGGGTGTGAGTGTGTGCAAAACAGACTGTGGGCTCGACTGTCTCTTGGTCCATGGGCCCATGCAGGGGTGACAGGGAGAGTAAGATCCCTTTGTGCCCCTGCACAGGCTATCCAGACCTTGTATAGAGGAATAAGGGGGTGAACCAACCCCACCCAATGAGTAGATGGGTGGGGAAGGGCTCCCACCCGCCCAGGGCCAGCCGGCATCGCAGGGGTAGTAATTTATCGTTGGTTTGGATTAGCAGCAAGTTGGTATGCCCTGGAGCAAAAGGGAGTCGTAGAGGAATCATGCCTTTGCTTCTGGAGGACAGAGGGCATGTGGCCAGGCCACCAAGAAAGCCTATACACGTACCACCCGGACATGCCTTGCCTCAGAAGATCTCGCCCACTTTGGGATGGTGACATAAGGCTCTTAGGGATCTAGGGTGTGGGTCCTTCTCCTTAGCGTTGAGCTAAAGCCAAATCCTACTTACCTTCCATAGAGGGGGAGCCACCCTGCATGACAAAGGGGAACAGGTTTTGGTCACTAATCTGGTCCCTGGAAAACCAGAGAGGCAGCTAAAGCTACGAACAGGCAGGGTTACAAAGCAGAGAGATTGAGCAGGTAATTAGAGGGCTGAATAAAACCCTGAGCAGTTTTATTCAGGGAGAAGACTACACACTAGTAAAGACCTGACTCATCTCCACTTGTACAGCCAGGCAAGAGACGCAGTTACAACGTGGTTGCAATTTGGCCTGTAGACAGGACCTCAGATGTTCCTTAACCAGGCTAAAGCCTTGGACACGTTCCATAGGCAATGTTTGGGGACAGGCAGGGGCAAACCTCACCCTTCCATTGGGGCATGTGACAGAGCGTCTCCTGCAGGTTTTACAAGGACCCTGTTATTTAATGTTGTGAAGGCCAAGACTATAACAGGGTTCAAAAAAGAACTAGATAAGTTCATGGAGGACAGGTCCATTAATGGCTATTCGCCAGGCTGGGCAGGGAGGGTGTCCCTAGCCTCTGTTTGCCAGAAGCTGGGAATGGGCGACAGGGGATGGATCACTTGATGATGACCTGTTCTGTTCATTCCCTCTGGGGCACCTGGCACTGGTCACTGTCGGTAGACAGGATACTGGGCTGGATGGACCTTTGGTCTGACCCAGTGTGGCCGTTCTTACGTATTTAGCACTAAGTGAGGTGCTCAGGAGAGGGAAAGGCGTTTTTAGGCTCTAGAACCAGCTGTACCAAGAAGCAATTGTGCCCAAGGTCAAAAGACCGTTTCAAACCCTGGGCCAACGTGATACCCGACCGGCTGCCCAGCACTAGCTGAAGGTGCCCCAGCATCACTAGGTTGTTAGGTTTTGACTCTTTCTTCTCCCTTAACATTGTGCCCTCAAGATCAAGAGGAAGGGGGTCCTCATAGGACCACCTGTGGCTGCCTTCTTCCGTTCTTTCACAAGGATTCCCCATTGGCTGGGTCGAGGGTTTTTAGGGTGTGTCTACACTGCATGCTAAGCCCGGGCTTTGACTCGGGTTTGAGCTCAAGCCCCGCTTCCCCCCTTCACACCCCCCACAAATCAGTCTGACTCAGGTCAGCAGGGACTCGGCTCCTAGGACCCTGCTAGCAGAGCCCGAGTCCTGCTGTGACTTGGGTCCCAGCCCTGTCATTAGGCAGCGTGGATGCAGCTCAAGCCGCAGACCTGAGTCAGAAGGTCAGCGTAGCGCAGTATGGACGAGTTAGCACGGCTGGGAGACCCGGTCCAGTAACCGTAAACCCAGGTTTGCAATGCAGCGTGCTGCTCACACACGGGCTTGGAAACACCATAAGCCCAGTTCCTACAGATCCGGGCTCAGTGTGGAGCGTAGACAGACGCTGAGAGCCCCTTTGTGTCATTCTGGCCACTTTACCTGGCATCAAGGGGCTGGAGTGGGGGGTAAGATTCTGACATTTCAGAAGCTCCGAATTCTCTGGGTCCTCCAAAGAAGGCCACCCCACCAGGGGCCTGGCCCGGACACTCCTGGTATTTCTAATGTTAAAACATATGAGAAAGATGACAACCCTTCAGGTCTTTTCACCTGTCGCAAAGAGGCCCAGGCTCTGGTTTCTTTCCTCTGCAGCTCACCTGTAACATGCACACTCCTGCCCTGCCAAGGCGTTGCATTCTCCAGAGTCAGGGAAACAAGTTCTCCTAGTTCAATTAACGAAAGTGTATTTGATCTTCCTCTATGCCCGATGACTCCTCTACCTTAGCTAGCCCTAACCTTCATTCTAGTGAACCACAGCAGTTTGTCACTAGCCCAGTTTTATTTTCTGAGAAGTCTCTCGTGGAAATCAATGCTGACAGTTTTCTGAGGTCAATTTGTTCATTTCCTTGTATAGAACACAAGGCAAATGGCTCTGTCCTGCCCCTGCTATATGACATGGAGCGCCGCCGGGGGTTTGTTCTTCACCGTAGCTGTGATGAGTCCAGGTTTCTTGTGCATTTGCTGGAGGGCGGCCATGGCTCTAAAATACTTGTGCTGATAACAGAAAACAAGATCTAGTTATTAAAATGGTGGCGGTTCTTCAGGCCTGTAGTTTAGATGCAGAGATGGTTAGGGGAGCCGGCACAAAATTACTTTCACCAGCGTCACGCTTATTTGGAAAAGTCGTCCTCATCAGGAACATGGGAACTGCCAGAGCCCCGCCCAGTAACCCAGCTCCAACACAGGCCCGTCCCACCTGATTCAGAAGAAGGGGCAAGAAACCCACTAGTGGGCAGTTATGGGATAACCTGTCCCCAGGGACAGTTTTCTCCTAACCCCCCCATCAGCTGAGGGTTGGTTTGGGGGTGTTTGGTTTAGAATCCTTACTACTGTAAGCTTGGACATGGCCACCACGTTACAGTAGTGGCCACCACCCAAGCAGCCCGGGGGTGGGGGGTGGGGATCAGGGGTGCCTCTGCCGTGCTCTGCCCCATTTCCCCTTCTCCAGGGCTCCTTGAACAAACTCTACACAGCCTCTCAGCCAATCACAGCCCTTCTTGGGGTTTGGTTTCTGTATTAACACAAAGTTGTTAAACGCAACCACAAAAACACATCTTCCACCCTGCCTTAAGCTCCCCGAGGTACTGCCCCTTCCTGCTGCCTGAGCAGATGCAGGGCTGGGCCTGTCTGCTTTGCCTTCTCCCAAAGGAAAAACAAAGCTTTCAGCTAGGTTATATCGCCTGGCCCCAACTCCCTGCATGAGACCCTCTCTCCCTGCAGCTTCACTCTGCAATTCCCTTTCTAGCTGGGCCCTCACCTCATTAGCGGAGGTGATGGGCAGAAATTCAGAGTTCATACGACCACCAAGCGCCAGCGCCCGGGGTGGGAGAGGGAGCGGTGAACGGGGCTGCAAACAGCTCCTTGTACAGTATAACTGAACAGGGGCCGTTTCAGAGGGTATTGCCGATGCCCCATCCTGCGCACAGGGGGCGTTTACCCCCCAACAGAAAATCCTGGCCCAGGTTTGCACTACCAGCCTGGCACCGCCTCACACTACCTTCTGATCAGTCTTCATTTTGGCATTGTAGAAAGAGGTGGAATCGGGACAGGCTGGCAGCACTTCCCCCTGCAGCCGGTCAAACCGCTCCTGCTCATCTTCATCCTGGGAGGAAGAGACCACGAGAACCCAACTGTCACAGGGTGACTGGCCCCTTGGAGGGGGATTAGGGCCAGCCCCACCTGTGCAGCAGTTAACTGCATCCCAGCCTGAGGGGGTGGGACTAAGGGGTCAGGTGTTAGCAGGGTGAACGCCTGGGCCCCAGAACTAAAAGGCTCAAGGAAACACAGTCAGAGACCTGTGATCAGAACCCCAGGGAAGTCCTGAGATAAGGGGAAGGGAAACCTGCTAAGAAGCAGGGCCTCTGGGGAGAATGCCCCGGGAGGTCAGGACACAGCATTGCAGGGCTGGTGAATGCGCCCCATTATGCCAACCCTATATGAACAAAGAAGGATTAGACAGGAGGCTGTAGAGGTATTGCGCCTACAAATGAAAGAGTTGATTCTCTTATCAATTAAGGGCAATCTAGGTCCTTCACATGAATGGAGGTTAGTCTCCTGTGATACTGCACTCGGATAGTATGATCTTGGGGGCCATATAAGAGGCTAGAAAGACATGGACTGGAGATGAGAGCTCTTCCCCTTTCAGTGCCTGGGGTATACGAGGAACCCTGGGCAGTTTACAGGCAGCCAGTCAGCACCTTAGACTCTGACAGGAGGTTCCGTCATTTCTCTATTGGCCGGCCACACCAGCAGGTGTAGGCAAGGAGCAACTCTTCTCATAGTTGTGCTCTATCGATAGCTACATCCAGGACAACCTGTTCTCCACTGCAGGCTGGAAGATGACATGGGGCTTCTTGGAGCAGAAAAAGGACTAATCTGCAGAGTCCAAAGGCTAATGCCACATGTGCATGGTGGGCTTTGACTCACTGGAGCTGGTGGACAGACACCCACCGATGCGTTTATCTGAAAAGCCCTCTCCTTTAATGCCCACCTTCTAAAGTCTCCTTGTCCAGCATGGAGGGCAGGAGGACACTGAAGAGAAATGTGCGTTCAAAGGATACCCAGATCTGACAGTGATTGGGAGTGCGTTGGGGTCAGGTCTCAAGTGAGCACCCTCAGGAATATATTTTGTCTTTTCATGAATGGCTTGGAGAACGTGGAAGTCAAGTTCATGAACAATATAAAAATGGGAGGGTCAGAAATTAGAAGATAAGGCCAAAAGAAACCTGATGAGGTTCAACAAGGACAAGTGCAGAGTCCTGCACTTAGGACCGAAGAATCCCATTCACTGTTACAGACTAGGGACCGAGGGGCTAGGCAGCAGTTCTGCAGAAAAGGACCTAGGGGTTACAGTGGACGAGAAGCTGGATATGAGTCAACAGTGTGCCCTTGTTGCCAAGAAGGCTAACGGCATTTTGGGCTGTATAAGTAGGGGCATTGCCAGCAGATCGAGGGACGTGATCGTTCCCCTCTATTCGACATTGGTGAGGCCTCATCTGGAGTACTGTGTCCAGTTTTGGGCCCCACACTACAAGAAGGATGTGGAAAAATTGGAAAGAGTCCAGCGGAGGGCAACAAAAATGATGAGGGGACTGGAGCACATGACTTATGAGGAGAGGCTGAGGAAACTGGGATTGTTTAGTCTGCAGAAGAGAAGAATGAGGGGGGATTTGATAGCTGCTTTCAACTACCTGAAAGGGGGTTCCAAAGAGGATGGATCTAGACTGTTCTCAGTGGTGGCAGATGACAGAACAAGGAGCAATGGTTT